TCAACATCACCTTAGAAACCTCAGTTTAAAGGTAATATACAGCTGCTTATCCAATGCATAGGACATAATTCAAACATGTTACAAGGTTTTTAAATCGGTGATAAAAAAAAAAAAAATCAGGTATACTATGAATATTTACTTAAAAATGGGTTTTTAATTTTTATTAACTAATTTGTATTTATTTTATTCCGGTAGCTATTTTTATTGTTTGCCCCAATTTTTGAGTACAAAGTCATTTATATTATATAACATGAAACAAGATTGCAAAATTTCCAAAGAGTCAAACAAACGTAGACAGCTCATTTGTTTTAACTATGAACAATTTATTATTCCCGACTTTTTAAAAATAAGATAATGATGATGAAATGTATTGGCCTTGCATTTTAACTACGTGCCAGATGGGTAAAATGCAGACTAATGCATTTTGGCCGCACTTAAAAGGGAGTTTTCCCTCTCCACTGTAGCCACAAACAAGCGTTTTCCTGTCCAAAGCTGATCATCGTAAGCTTCAGGAAGAACCGGCCTAAACGTGCTCCACTGCCCATCAACAGCTCAGCTGTAGAGGTGGTCAGCAGCACCAAATTCAACACACCTAACTGGGCAAAAGGGAAAAGAAGCTCTTTTAAGTCATGCAGAGGATGAGGAAAGCCCACCTGCCCCCACCCATTCTTACAACCTTCTAGAGAAGCACCATAGAGTTCACCCTGCTTGCCTATGGGAAGAGGCTTTGCAGCATTCGATGCAGGTCCAGCAGATTCAGCAACAGCTTTTCCCCCACTCCCATCAGACTGTTGAACTGTTGAGAAAACTCGAAATCAAGACACAGATACTGCATCACACCAAACTAAAATACTGCATTTTTGTACTATATATATTTAATACTCTGAACTTCCATATAAATGCATTTTTTTGACCATGTTTTTTCTCCCTCATTGTTTACATTTAGTCACTGCTGCACTTTATGGAATGGAAATGTTCTGAAAGTTGTACAAAACAAAATTTCTTTCCTTTTGTACAACTTTCATTGTCTTAGACCAGGGGTGTCAAAGTGGTTCCAGAAAGTGCCGTGTGGCTGCAGGCTTTCTTTCTAACCAAGCAAAAACACACCAGACCCCAGTCATCTCATCAAGTCATCATGTTAAGATTTGACTCACTTGATGAGATGACTGGAGTCTGGCGTGTTTTTGCTTGGTTGGAAAGAAAACCTGCAGCCACACGGCACTTTCTGGAACCACTTTGACACCCCTGTCTTAGACTTAGATAAAAGTAGTCTAAGTCTAAAAACAATATTACGCTACAGTACACAAACATTCGTCAAGCACTAGGACCAGGCAGAAAACCACAGCTCAAGCTGAAGCCTGCTTCCCTGAGTGTAGACCACCCACAAGCTCCTTGATGACCCACCGTCTTTTCTTGTGTGACTGGCTGTCACTGCTGTCACTCCTAAGAAGCTCACTTTATAAAATTCTGATGTGCCACTGAATCTGTCTGTGAATGGTTGGTCAAACATGCTGAAGATAGTTATATTAAAAAATACATGGGTTTGAGGGATTGCTGTGGAGTCAATGAGTCGATGCAATCAACTGGTTTTACTTAGATAGAAAACTTTGTACCAATCTGACTGTAAGATCTGATTAAATTTTCTCTGTAAAGTGCCTTGAGCTGCCATGTCTTTTGAATTGCTGCTATAAACATAAACTTAAATGAAAACTGAATCCCCTTGAAGCTCTAGTTTGGCACATCTAGGGAGTAGTCTGGGACTGCTGTTTTATTCAGAGACCCAGATGACAGTTTGTGGGGTTTAATTCAATTCAATTCAATTCAGGTTATTTATATAGCAGCAATTCACAACACGTCATCTCAAGGCACATTACAGTTCACCAGATCATACAGTCAAATTGATTCAAAGATTTCTATCTAAGGAAAACCAATTGATTGCATCAACTCATTGACTCAAATTCAATCCCTCACACTAAGCATGCTTGTAGCGACAGCGGAGAGGAAAAACTCCCTTTTAACAGGAAGAAACCTCCAGCAGAACCACGCTTTGTGTGAGCGGCCATCTGGGGTTCAAGGAGACAGAAGCAGAGATACAAAAAGCAGCTGTAAAAGGAGGCCAGGAAACACAAAGCCAGGCAGACGAGCTCCGAGCCAACTCCCGTGTCAAAGGATGAAGAGAGCACATCCAGCCAGTCAGAGTCAGAGAAACAGGACTACATTGGAAAAAGGCTGACCTCCAACATCTATAAACAAGGGTGTTGATGGCACCAAGTAAACACTAGGCCACACTCTATTTTCTACCATTACTATTAATGGTTAGGGTTAATGCATGTATGATTGGGATAAAAAGGATCAATTGATAGGAGAAAAAAAAAAAATCATACATCTACTTTTAATCACCGTTTTCCTTTTTTCAGCAGGTGGCGCTGTTTAGTCCATTAACCCTGCAGCAGAGGAGACGCGCACACAAAAGAGAGGGAGAGAGCATCAGCACCCTGCACACATTTCATTGTCCCAAGGCCAGGAAAGAGCAGGACACATCTAATCTTTTCAGAAACATCGCTTTAAGTCAAAAGATTATCCCTTCTTCATTTTATCCGGCTCATATCGTTCAGCAATGAAGCGGCAGTGTGAGCGCTGATCCACAGCGGCTTTGAGTGACACCTGCGCTCACTCCCTTTCACCGGTTCCCCTTTTTTCACAGCTTTTGTCTGGTACACCTCCGCAGTTTCCGACCAGCAGCGCAGGAGTGGACGAGGAAGAGGAGGAGGAGGAGAAGGGAAGAATAGCGGGGCATACCTGACGCCCGCAGCCGCTGGAACAGCCCGGATCGGCCGCTTTGGGAGTTCCAGTTCAACCGGCGCTTTGTGCAGTTTAAACGGGACACACACAGAAAAGTCCTCCAGATACATCAAACCACAAAGAGAACAAGTCATTTTGAAGGTGGTTTATTGAAGGTGAGATGAGGAGCCAAGCAGCAGAAGGGTTGAAGATGCGCCTCCCTGTGCTTGTGTGCGCTGTAGTGGGTTTCTGTGCGGCACCGGGCTTGGTATCCGGCGCAGACAGGAGCTGCGGGGACCTGCGACAGTTCTACACCGGGAAGGGTTTCACCCTGGAGGGAGTCCCTCAGACCGAGATTTCAGGTGAGTTATCAGAATTGCAATTATCTTTCGACTTTTTATGTTTTTTGAGTTATAAGAAACAGACATTTTATTGATAGTTCTATAAATCTATATAGTTTCTATAAATCTAATTTGCTTTAGTCTGTAAAAAATAAAAATGTTTAGATGCTGCAAAATTTTCATTACATAGGTTCCATAGACACGATACAGTGTTTCTATAAACAAAATGTACATTATGGATAAGATAAGAGTAGGTAAGGTAAACCCATCTAAAAGCAAGTTTAACGTTACCCCCCTCTTGTTTTTGTTCTAAATAGCACCAGTTCATATACAGTACTATATTCTTTAGGCTCCTCTTAAGTGCCTTTAATGAGAATCCACATTTAGGGCTTCCCCAGTCCATAACCTCTCTTGCACATCTCTATTGTAGTCTGCTCTGGGACTTTTATTGTCTGCTCAGAGCAGACTTGCTTTTAGGCTTCTTGGTGTATTTATCCATGGTGTTGATGCCTGCTCTGTAACATTTAGTGTAGAAAACATAATGGGACTAGAATAAACATCAACCAGGACTTAATTTCTGCTCATTTCAGTTAGATATCTACAGTATCCTTTTCATTGGAGGCTGCTGGTGGGACGAAATTGATGTTAAAATGTCCTTGTATTTGATTTGCATAAAGTAAGGGCTGCTCAATCACCTATCAAGGAAAAAAGCAGTGATATGATTCTTTGTGATGCAACCTTTAAATAAAATTTATGTTCCACAGTTTTTGCACCTATATTAAAAGTAATACTAAATCAGGCTCCCTTGTATGTGACTGGGAATGGAGCAGGGTGAGGGGAAGTCCACCCAAGTGTCCAATTATATCAGTGGGAGGCACAGCACCAATTGCTCTTTAAAAAACCAATTGAAAACTGTACCCAGTGTGTGTTTCTTGGTTATGATCTTGCATGCTGATATTGTATTTCTGAGTGAGATGTGATATATTGTACAGCTCTGATAATAATTTCTACCCCGGTGACACAGAAAAGACTCTAGACTCATAAATCAGATCCAACCTAAGCTGCGGTTAATTTTACCAGGGAGAGAAATGGCTTTTAGATACTCCCATCTACCCTGCCATGTCAGTCAACTATTCACAGAGACAGGCAATAATGCATGTAATCAATCAGTCAATTTACCAGGCAGTCAAGCAATCAGTCAGCCTCAGAGCCCATCAATCTCCCATCACATTTCTAAGTCTCTTTTATTTATTTAGTTTCCTTCGATCGCTGCTGACCACAAATACCAACTAAAGTGTCTGTGAACGTTAATTCTCGTTCTACTTAAAGTTAATTTTATTTTGTCCAATTTGGCGCCTTTTGATTCTCAAAGGAAGGGACACAGGCGGTCATGAAAGACGAGGTGAGGCACTGTACATTCTGAAGGTCATCCCATGTTGTGTCAATGAAAAGGCTCTGGTATGGGCGTGTGAGTTATTAATATTGGATGTGCACGTACGTGTGGGTGTGTGAGGAAGACAGACAGCAGATAGATCTGAGCCCTTAGAGGTAGAGGGGGAGAAAAGGAAAAAGGGAGAAAACAACAGAGGCAGACAGGCAGGTTAACAGAGACAGAGCGTGTGAGTCATTGAAGGTCTTAGGCTGGGCTTCATGCAGGACACCAACACCATTTTTTTCCCCTCCTCCTCTATTAAGAAGTCATCTTTTATTGACTGGTGAAATACACAGGTTTTCAGTCTCTTGATCCTTTATAGTAGTTATTGAAGCAAAATCTCTCAGAACTCTTTGAAGCCAACATCAAGATAGGAACAAAGAAATATTTCTTCACAAGAAAAGCTCATATGTCTGACTAAATCATCCACAAATTAATATTAAATGAATATGAGTTCATATTAAGATAAAAAGTCTTAAGATGTGTTGGGTAAGATGTATTGGTTCTCAGAGATTTTAGAACGCATTCAAAGATAACAGAAAGCATAATCCTGTGTACTTTAAACTTTGATTTTGCAGGATTTTCTGGTATTTAATAAAAAAAATAGCAAAAAGCATCAAAGCGGAGATAGACAGGAATATTTTGACATGAATATAACTTTACCGGATTACAGGAAGTAAAATATTGGGAATTGATCAGTATTTAGAAATTATATTGTAACTTTTTTTGTAGTCACATGGCTTCGTCTCCCAACTGAAATCAATTTGATTTGCTTAAAATTCCTGAAGGTAAAGTAAACAGGGATGATCTAGTAGAGTTAGAGGTTACATTAGATGGATGGATGGAACAACGGTTAGAGGCGTGACTAAACTAGACAGAGGCATTGCAATTATCCATCCATCCATCCATCCATGCCGATCTCCAGCTGTCTACAGGCGTGAGGCGGAGTACACCCTGGACAGGTCGCCAATCCATCGCATTGCAATTATAAATAAGGTAAAACACTTCCTGACTAAAGCATTACACATATTGTACTGTTTGCTGTTTCTACTATACATGAGCTCTATAGGACACCTTAAGGACACAACTAAAAATCTATGTGTGCAGCAAAAAGAGCCATAATGTTAGCTTTCGTGACCTCACAAACCCTCCATTCATTCCTGTTTAAACTAATTCTCTCAAACATCACAATTAATGTGTAAAGCTAGAAATAAACAGCTAGCAGACAACATCGAATAGCGTTTTGTTGAAAGAGAGGGAGTGTATAATTACAGGGATAATCTAAATTTCAAAATCTAAATAGCTTCCTCTACAGTCATGAAACTGAAATCAAAGGTGTGAAAGTGTGAACAAAACAACAGCTCTTTATTAAATTAAAGCAAGTTCCAAGAATGACGATGTTTAGAAAAATACCGAAACAGGTTTTCTTAAAAGATATCCGTATATACCCACGGGATTCTCCTTTTCTTACATCTCTTTGGGTTCCGGAATCAGACCATTAAAAAACATTTCCTTTTGTACTTGCAGAAAGGAACAAACTGAGCTCAAAACTCAGCACGTTTTCTATTGAAACTTCATGCTGTTAACAGCATGGCAGAACAACTTTAGGTAATATGGGCATCTTTCTTTTTGCAGAATGTTTGCTGATGCGTGGTTCATAGGTATTGTTAGTCAATTGGTTAAGTGGCTTATAAATTTGGTTACACAGTAAAGAAAAATCTCAGCAGTGGCCTAACCCCAAGAGTTTATATGTCAGCCTGTGGATTTATTTAATGATGCAATGCAGTCTCTGGCTTTATAAGCAAGTATTTAAGAATTAAATAAAGGCTGAGTTTGAATAAGTCTGTTCTGATTCATCAGCACAAAGTTCAAGGAGCTGTTAGCTGCAAAGCATTCTGCTTTACTTCAGTACATTTTTTTTATTATTTATCTATTAACATGTTTATGTGAGTGTATTTGTGGCATTGTGAGATATTTTCATAGATTAGTCTGTCTACCACATGCAACAAGAAAATGTCTAAATGTTAGTTTTATTTCCTTTTTTTTTTGACCTCGTAAGTTAAAAAATTCTATTCTAGACTAAAACCCCAAACCAGTGCAAACCAGTGCATTTATAGATTAGTTCAACTCTTTTTCTTTGTGCAACAGAGCAAAAGATCATCATTAGAATGCAGTGTTTGTCAATACCACTATAGGTCACATTAATAGAAAATGCTCTTCACATTTGTTAATGAGACCAAGAAGTAATCAAAATAGGGTAATATTTCCAACTTTTTTTCCATGAGAAATCAATCAAAAATATTGGTGTGATTTTAAAGGCAGAAGCTCTATATTTCTACCCAAACTTTTTCTTGAGTCCCTATTCTTTTTAAGACCCGCCTCATATCTTTTGTCTCTTAGGTTTAGCACCATGAGAGGTTGAGAATAGATTCTTTCTTTTCTGCTGTCAGCTTGTCTGCCGTTGTGCCTGCAAGCATTTTTAACACACATTGTCCCTTTTGCTTGGCCAATAGCCATAGACTAGCTCTTCCTATAGCGAAGGTGAGTGTGTTTTAAAGACAGTGAAAGCCAACACCTTCTCCAAGGAAGACATTTAGATTCACTTACACATGCTTTGTCTGTGTGAGCAAAAGCACACACCCATATGTGATCAAGTGACACCTAGAAACACAGCTGTAGGAGATAACTTGCTCTTTTTAATTCTTGGAGCAACGGTTGAGACACAAGCGTGCTTGTGCTCCTAATGATTAAATATCACATTAGTTTATGTTTGAGTGATAGGTATATTTGCTCTTCAACACAGGTTTTAACAGAATTACTTACAGATAAGAACTCAGTACAAAGACAGGTTCTTGTTGCTGAAAATTGTTCTCGATTAGTCATGGAAGAGATTATCAGGTGTGCAATAAACACTGAGGAAAAGGCAATGATTCCAAACTATAAAAGAAAAAGATTTTGAAAATACTAAATATTACATTTATATATCGTTTTTTTTCTTTTTGCTACATAAATGTACACAGAATATATGCAGATATACATACAAAGCAAAATGAAGTAGCAGTTTTTAAATAAATGTGCCTTTTATGTAGAGTATTATTGTTTTCTGTGTTCTTGCTCCTTATAGAATAAATATAGACATATATCAAGCTGATATCAGCTGTTTTGATGAGTCTGGCTTTCTGCTCTGGCAGTCAGCCTACAGACTGGTACATAACTTAAATGCTGCACTTTAATACCTAGCGATGGGTATTGTTCCTTCTACTTTCCACACAATTATTGTCTTTACTTTTTAACTCTCCATTTTATTGGGTTTATTATAAAAAAAAAATAAAAAAAACAAACAAACAAAAAAAAAACAACAGTCTGATAAAATAATGTTAACAATTTTGATGCTTTCATTTTAAACTATATTTTAGTTAGATATCTACAATTAGAGATACACCGATTCGATACCTGGATTGGATATCGACTCCGATTTTAACTAATAATCTGGAACGGATATCGGTGATTTAATATCACATATTGGAAAACCAATCCAGTTCACTTTACATGGAACTGTTATTTCTTTCCTTTTTCTACTTATTTGTAA